CCACCTGTGATGAGGCCAGATATGGCAGAATCCTCCAAGAACTTCTGGAGGTGGCAGTCGTTGTTCAGCCGTTTAGTAATATTACAATATCAGAGGTTTAGTTTAATGAGGATAAAGGAATTAATTTTAAGTTAGATGGCTATGATTTGAAATATGAAAATAAAGGAAACAAAACAGGTGAAGTTGATATACTGGTTTATTAAAACATCTAATTTATAGCAGTAGAAAATATGACATTAACAATATATGTTATAACAAAGTTTAAGACAGTTGAAATCCTTTTTTTAAGAGAAAACATCATTGCAAGTGTTTATACAAGTCACCTGGATTTAGAATTAGTGGAAAAGCATTTTTAATAATAATAGTAATAAAAATTAATCTACAGTATTGATTTGATGAATATTCAATTCAGGTTATTTCTATAGCACCAATTCACAACACGTCATCTGAAGGCACTTTATAGTTCACCAGATCATCCAGTCAGATTGATTCAAAGTTTTCTATCTAAGGAAAACCAGTTGATTGCATCGACTCATTGACTTTTTAGCAATCCCTCACACTAAGCATGCTTGTAGCGAGAGTGGAGAGGAAAAACTCCCTTTGAACAGGAAGAAACCTCCAGCAGAACCAGGCTCAATTTTTTTTTTAAACATTCAAAAATCCTCCACTATACCTTTAAGATCTGAGCAAAGAAACTTTTCAGCGTCTCAATACTGATTATTTCCATTTGGCTCCATTCATAACAACATATCAGCTTCACTGACTGAGAGTGATTAACAAGTGATGCTGTTCTGACCCGGTATGAGATTAAAACATTTGATTCTGTTATATTTAGCAACAAGTGTTAAAAAGAAATCAATCAAAACAAAAAGCATCACATTAGAACCACATTTAGCTCCAAAGACTGAGTTGTTGTTGCAGCAGGTCTGGAGGAAGAGGAGAACTTTGTGGAGGTCAGCTGATTATTCCTGAACGAACATCTGGGAGAGAAATTTCAGTCAGAGCTGAACGACTGCAGCACTGAGGACAGATTATTGGAGTCTTTATTACAGGTTATGTTCTGATCTGAGCAGAG